TTTCGATTCACGAAGTATGCTGCCAAAATGCTGGCTGAAAGTCCTGGCCAAGAAGCGAGTGCTTCCTCTCGGGCTCCACACAATCAGAAAGCAGTGGCATTGTAAGACTCTCTCCCATGCAAAATGTTATAGGTTTCTGTATAACACCATTATGATTGTACAAATCTTATGAAAAAAGCGGTTGATCGCAAACAGGAAGGGCAAGCAATATGCTTAATATTTCTGATTAATGAAATTCGAGTAAAGATTATGATTAGACACAAGCATATCCTGTATCTTGTGCTAAAAATAATACATTTGCCATTCGAGCTTTGAGTACAATTTTGCCGCATTTTCCTCAGTGAGCTGCGCCTGTTTGCCTTTTGCTTTTTGGTGGAAATTTTGCGCTTGCAAATCGCACGGAAAATTCGAGACGAGAATGAGCCACAGACATAGGCAGCGGCCGTTATGCTCCGCTCCGTTCTGTTGGTTCTGGGCTTGAGCTTGTGTCCCCCTGGTTGTCGCCCCATTTTCCATTTCCCATTTCCGCCGCCCGGTTTAGCCCCCGCCCCCCTTCTTTTCGAACCGCTCCGAACCGAACCTCCTGGAGGATTTTCATTTCGCAGCTTAGAACTGGACCTGGCTCGCTGGGTGCTCTTCTGCTTTTCTAAATAATGGGATTCGCGGGCGGCAACTTGCTCCACCACTCCCCCTCCCCACAAAAGGAGTGGGCCAAACAATGCAGCAGACGCATGCATGATGGCTCAAAGGTGGAGTTGCGATGGTGGCCACCATGGCCATGGCTATGGCTATGACTATGGCAATGGCAATGGCAACTTGGACCGGCTATCGATTGAATTTATTTGCATTTCGCATGGGAAGCGCCAAAAAGGGAAGAACGAGGCGGTCCACAAGAGGCCTGGTCAACAATTCTTTCGATTTTCATTTCCGTGTCCTCTCCAGGCACCGCCAACAACAGCAACAACAAGTGAAACAACAACTGCTGGGCAACAACAAACATGGCGCAAAAATCATTAGAAACTCTTTTGTTTAGCCGGTGCACGTTTGCAGGCAGGGTCCCTTCCAAAGTCGGGAAATAAAACGGCAGAGAAAAGTCCTGCGACGCAGGCATTTTCCTTTTCGCCGAGGGATGAGGAGGCGGCAACGTCGCGTATGCGCAATTTTCTGAAAAAGAAGCCTGGGCGCTTTGGGGTGGCTACCCAATTGACCGAGGCCGAGGAAAGGACCTCCAGGGCTTTCGCATGGTGAGTGCTGCTGATGTGGCTACTTCTTTTGTTGCCCCTCCGCTGGCGGTTACTCCTGCCCAGGACCAAGCCGCCCTTCTGCCCCCACCCTCTGCCAATTCTGTGGTGCCCGACAGCCTCATTTGCCGGCTCCACTTTTTTGCGTGGCTCGTTGGTTTTGCGTGATCCACACTTTAAGCAGCCTTAGCCGCAGTGGCCGCAAGCAGAAATCCCTTTGAGGGCGCCAAAGGATGCAGGGGCGTGGCTCGCCGGTTTGCGCCACTAACTAAGCAATTGCTTAAAGCCTAAAGTCTCCTTGCAAGCCTCATTAAACTAGTAGGTCTATAAATCATTATATTTTAGTCAGACTAGTCGTATTAAACACATATTCTTGACGCATTCTTGAAGTTCTTGCATATTTTCGCTTACCATCCCGATTCTTCAAGCCTTCTTTTCCCCGTATGAATTTCATCCTGTTTGGGTCTTCTTTTAAGTGGCAGCTTGAAGCTTGAAGAGCCTTGGAGGAGCGTTCAAGAGCAGCTTGGAAAAACTGGCAAAGAACGAGGGGTTTTGTCCACTTCTACGGATGGCCGCAGAAAGGCGCCAGGCTTTCCAGCCATTTTCCGGCACCACCCACATCCTTCTTCACATTCTCCCTCTTTCTGGACTCTTCTGCTCCTCCTTTGGCAGTGGCGTACGGTAGGTGCCCCTTCACTTATATTTTCATTTGGAATCAATGCCCTCTTTCACAGGGTCTATCGATCAATCAAGGCAGCTCTTGCTCAAATGATTTATCAAACATTCTTGTTGAAAAGAGCGCAAGTCCCAGAAGATTTTAGGATGTTTATAGAGCTGTCTTTGGTGATTGATTTTAAGCCCCTAACTATACAGATTCGACAGCTTAGGGTTATAGATAAGCGAGAGTATTTGCAGTATCGAATAGCTAATTTCGAACTCCGGCTTTCAGTGGCTTTGGCCATTTCCTGTCGCCATTTCTTTGGCCATCGCTTTCGCTTTGGCCTGCAAGTGTGTGACGGTATTTTTTTACCACTGGCTGCTGGTTGGCTGCAGATTTGAACTCTTTCGCTTTGCCAGCGGATGTCCTTTAAAGGTCCTTTAGCGTGGTTTCCACACCGATGCCTGGCCACTGCCCACACGCTTTCTTCACGCTGCTCCGATAATTTCACTTTGAATTTCCTCATCGCAGCTTTTCTGGAGAACGGAAGCGCGCTAGTTTCCTTTCCCAGCGGACCGCTTAGTTTTCCGCGTTCTTTTTCCAGCAATCCAACAATCCAGCAATCCAGCAATGCGACAATCCAGCGAAGATGGCATTCGGACTTGTCAAAGCGGAAAGGGCCTTCATTTCCGCCTCGAAAGAGTCGCCGCGTTTCCCCTTTTCCAATTCGCTGGCTGCCAAAAAATAAAACGGGAAGGAAGAAATAGCCTGGCAAAGGTGCATGCTAAGCTAAGTTTTTAAAAATTCTCCTACGAAATTGTTTTAGTTAAGTTAAGATTTATTTAAAACACGATCAGACATCAAATATGCGCAAACGCATTGGATATACTGATTACTCTTTATACAACTTCTGAAAACATATAATTTTCCAAATTTTGTATTGCGAAACTGCCAAATTTTGGAATTGGAGTAACTTTGGTCATAGAATAATATTCGAAAACCAATTCAATCGTTTTTCGGGTCAACATTTGAATAACTTTTGTTGCATACTTTGGGGTTAAACAAAAAAGATTGTAGTACTTCAGAAATACTAAAAAAAAGGATACTTCAAACTCATAGAATAAAAAACTACCATAACACATGCAAGCTCACTTTTTCCTTGTACAAAAAATCCTTGGAAAAAACTGCTGACAGGTGCCCGTTTTAATCAGAGAAAAAGGCGAAGGATTATCGAGAAAAAGATTCCCTCTCAAGATGTCAAGGCGCCGAAAAAAAGGGGCGCCCCCGAAGAGGGGGAAGAATTTAAGCACCTTGCCGCCGATTCGCCGAACGAAGGCCGCAAAAAATAATTTGCGAAGTGCTACGCGTTTTTTAGCCCATGTGTGCACCCCCGATTTATATATGCAGATATCTATATATAAAAGTATTTGACGCCACGGACGCACACACGTATATATATTTATATATATATATAGATATATTTCGAGTGGTCGGGCCAATCGGCGTCGAGCACGAAGTTCGCAGAGGCTCGTGGAGGCGCCCGAATGGCAAAAAGGTCAAAAAGAGAGAGGGCAAATGGAATAAAATATGCAAAATATACAAAATAGCACACACAACTGCACTGCACACAGACACACGCACACAGGCGAACGGCGAACAAAGGGGGATTTATTTTAGTTGTTGTTATTGGCTGCGCAAAAAACAATAACAACAGCCTATGGATGCGGCACTAGCAACAACAACAACAACAGCAGCAACAGCAACAACTCGTATTAAAAATGCGTTTCCATAGGCGCCGCCTACCGCGTGACGTCACCAGCTGCACTTGCTGCGTCTTTGCCTCCTTTTCTTTCAGCTTTTCCTCGTACTCTTTTCTTTTTTGCTCTTTTTGCTCGGTCGCCACCTCCAAGTTTTCGTTTTCGCGGGGCAGCATGGGAATCGGGATGGGACAGGGGAAGAGGAAGCAGAGAAGAGAGTGCAGCCGAAGCTTTTCGTTCGTTTTCGCTCGTCTTTCAGCCGTTTTTTTGTTGTTGCTCTGCTCCCCTTCTTCTCGCTCGCGCGTCTGTGAGTGTGTGTGTGTGTGTGTGCGTGCGTGTGTGGCGTGTGTGTGTGTAGGAGCAAGCAGCTCGCTGTCCCACTCGCACTCGCGCCCCCTTACGGCACTTTGAGGGGCGTGGCCAAGTTGTGAGTGTGTTGCTGTCGCCACTTTTTCTCTGCTCTTTTTTGCCATAGTTTCTGTGCCTAAGCAGCAAAAGCAACAACAAGGAGGTTAAGGATGATGCCGAAGAAGAAGAAGAAAGAGGGTTGGCAACTATTTTGAAACACTTTCTTACTGGACATTGGCCAGTTTCTCTTTCTTGCCACTGCCACTGCCGCTGCTGCTATTGTTGTCGTTGTTGTTGCTGCTTCAGCTCGGTTGCAAGCTGCTGTTGCTTTTCTCTTCAAGTTGCAGGTGTAGACTGCACTTTTTTTGGGGCCTTAGCATGCTGCTTTGTTGATTTGTTGAGATTTTTGAGATTTATCGGTAAGCTTGGTTTTTATCTGAATGCGATAACTTTTTGCAAAAAGAATTCAAACAAATTAAAATGAATATGAGACGTTTGAAATTGTACATACAACATGAAAAAATGTTTGAAACTATTTTAACAAAATGTAGGTGACAACGAAAGTAATGTAAGAATCAATTCATTTTGTGCTTAAAATAAATAGTATATACAAATCTTATAAATACATTTTTAAAACTTTTCTTATTAATGCTGAGGTTTTGAATTTGTAATGATTTTTAAACTATGTACATATGTATTAGAAAGAAAGTAAGTGCTTTACAGATTGATCAAATATTTTTCCCCCTCATACAAACACATTTTTATTCCATTTATGTTTTCTAATACAAATTTCGAATTTTTCAAGTTTTTGCCAGCAAGATCTGTGAAAATCCAAAAGAACGCAAAGAGCGCACTAACTTTCGCTCTTAGGCAGCCGCTCTGTCGTTTTCTCAATTCGCCGCAAAAACCGGAAAACACCACGCCGGCGCTCTCATTCGCCGCGAGAGAGCGGGCAGCGCAGTCGGCGTCGGCAGAGCGGCGTCGAGTTTCATTCAATTTTTTGAAATTCAGTTCGTTTATCTGTGAGATTCAGTTCGTATCTGACTTTCGGCGTGAGTGGAGTGCAGCGTTTGTTTGAACGGCCACTGAAAGCCAGCAACAACAACAATAATATCGACGACAACAACAACAAAAACAGCAGCGGCAGCAAAGACAGCAAAGCAAAAGCAACAACCAGTGACGTGCAACAACGACAAGCAGAACAGCATGTGTTGCATGCAGTGAACAAAACAAACAGAACATAAACACAAGTATTCTGTATTCTGTTTTCTGTATTCTTTTAATATTTAATAAAACAAGAAAGTGAACTAGAAGTGAAGCCATCGAGTGAATACCAGACGAAAAGTGTATGTGTGCGTTGATTATTATATTAATTATGGTGCTTTATTTATGACAAATGACTGGGCTGCAATGAAAATCGATTTTGTACCTCGACCATGTACTATTCTACATAAGTTATCCAGTGGAAATGCCCTCCAAGCCCCCCCTTTCCCCACCATCCCCCCCTCGCACATTTTCCGCGCATTTTCCTTGGCGCTACCAAAGAAATTGTAATTTATTAATTTATAACACAAGCCACCCAGCGAAAAGGTCGTAAAAAGCAATGTTGCTTGGTCGTTTTCGGGCGCCCAGGAAAATTAAGAAGAAAACCCACTCGAAGGAGCAACTTTTCCAACAGCTCCCGCTTTTCCGAGTGGGTGGCACGCGCCAAAAACAGTTTGTAAACATTTTCCACACAGCAAGCGAAACACGAGAAAATCCAGACTGTAATTTATTACTGGCTGCATAAATAATAAATAAGCGTTAATAAATAAATACAATATGCAATATATATATATGTATGTGTCTGAGCGCCCGCACACCACCACCCCCTCGTTTCTCCCCGTGTATTTGTGTTCGTTTGTGTGTGCGAGCCCACTTTAAGGACCCAAAACCTCGAGACTGAATTAAATAAATAAATACAGAAATAATAAATAAATAAAGTGCCCAGCATGCCTGCTGTATTTTTTTGTTGCTGCCAACAGCTGCGCTGGCTATAAATAATTAAACGAAAATAATATATTACGAGGAAGCAGGAAAAAGTGTGGAAAGGCAAGAAATCAGGGAGTTTTCAGATTGAAGTTGTAGCATTTGAGTCAGATACTTGTTAGCAGTTAGCATTTTATCGAGTAAAATCAGATTTCAGTATTATTAATTTCTAATATTAATAAAAAAAGTTAATTTTGTGTTTCCCGTTTGCTTTCACAACCACAGAGAAACTGACAATAATAGCAAAACATAATTTCGGATTTGTTTAAAGCCAGGTTTTAGTAATAAATAAGTGAAAATCTTGAATAATCATAAAATCAGCTTTGAAGTGTCGACTTTCGAGATGTGCGAATCTTCAGCATTTGGCAATTTACTTATTTATTTATTTGAGGCCGAGTTCTTCGCAGGAATCATCAAATTTAATGCGAGCAGCCACGATAAAAGCAACAAACATGAATAAATAAGGGGAATAACAAAAGGCAGAGCGCGGCCATAACAATAAACCAAAAGTTGGCAAAAGCAGCGGAGCAGGAGCGATTTCTCCTCACAGCCAACTCCTCCACTTGGCCAACTCTGAGCTCCTCAGCTCCTCAGCTCCCCAGCTGTTTAGCTCCCTCGACTATGGGTCTCCGGATACGTATCCGTATCCGTATCCGGATCCAGAACAACAATAAAATAAACAAAAATAATAACCGTCGACGGCGCCGAGGCGCTGCGGCCGCAAGATTTAATTGGAATGGAATAATAATAAACATAAAAAGTAGCAAGAAGAAGTATTATAATAACAATAATAATAAATATAATTAAATTTCATGGCGGCAGCAACTTTCCACCCCGACAAACCCGACCAACGACCCAAGCGAACCGAGCCCCGCCAGCACAAACACACATAAATTAAAATTATACAAAATATTTAAATAAATATAATTACTTTGGGACCGCCAACCCACCCTCACCCGAGCTCTGCCATAAATAATAATATTTAATTAAATATAAATCTATAGACGGCCGCTGTGCGCATGCAAGTACGAGTATATCCAGAGACAACAATACAAAATAAGCAATAATCGCGCACACAATTACAAAGCCACTCCACATAGCCGCTATATGCACACATATAAATATAAATATACATTTATATATATATTTGTATATACATATGTATATGCCTGTGGATATGTGCATGTAGATGAGAGCGTATAAATACAACAACGAGCGGCGGAGACTACGAATAATTGCAGCTCAGTAATATAAATTAAGCCAAATTAAACATAAATAAATGTGTGCTTAGCTTTTAGCTAATAAAGCACATTTCTGGCCTGGGCGTGCCAGTGGGTGGTGGGCGTTGGGCGTTGGGCGGTGGAGGGGGCGGTTCGGGGGGTGGCTGGCAAATACTAAACATAAATTAATAGAAATTCATGGAAATTTCGAGTCGCAGGGAGAAGGGGCAAGATTAATAGGCTTATTTAATAGAGATATGACTAAGAGCAAATGCGCCCGCTGATTCAGCTTGATATGGATGAAACACTTGCCAAGATATTATCGTTTTAGATCAATATAGACAATATAGGCAGTATAGACAGAATAATGTGGCAGGCGAGTTAAAGCCATATTATAGCAGCATTCTCTTTGATTGGCAGTAAAATGTCTTATTCCGAGCCGATTGAAACATATTAAATGTGTAGCATTTGATGGCTTTCCCAGAATCATGTGAGTTTTCCCTCTTTTCCAGCTCTGAACTGCTCCCAGGAAAAGTTCTCGTTAAGCCCCCGAAAATGTGTTAGAAGACCCGCGGAAAACCTGCAAAACAATCGACAACAAGGAAAAACTCTATACCAGCACCATGGACATGACCAAACAGATTGCGGACTTTGAAATAAAGTCGGAACTGATCGGCGAAATGGATCAGTTCGAGCCGAGTGACTACACGATGGCGCCACCGGAAGAGCCCACGATTGTGAATGAGGCTCACCTGGAGCACCTGGAGGAGCCGAACAAAAAGTACTCCCCCGAAAGGGAAGTGGAAGCCGCTCTGGAGGATCCCAGTGAGGTGGTGGGTCAAGCGGACACAGATGCTGAGGCTGGTGGAGAAGTGAAGTCACCAGAGAACGACTTGGAAGCGGAGCCGGTGAAGGCCAAGGAGAGTCTGATGAACGACCAAGCTCTGACTCCGCCACCACGACCGCTGACCTCCAGTGAAGTGGTGGGTCTGCGGGATCCCGAACACACCGAGCTGCGCATGCGCCTGGAGGCCAAGAAGTCGCGCTCTCTACCAGTTTCCCCACAGCCCCAACAAAGTCTTAAGCTAGCCGGCTCGGCGCTCTTCGAATTCGGCCAGCGATCCTCTCCGGTGGAGGCCAAGATCAAAACCAATCCCGAGGCGACGAAGGCGCCCAGGCGCAAAATAGTTCCTCCCACTGGCGAAGGGGACAACCAGCAGTTCTGCCTGAGGTGGAATAACTACCAGTCCAACCTGACCAATGTCTTTGACGAGCTCCTGCAGAGCGAGTCCTTCGTGGACGTGACCCTGTCCTGCGAGGGCCACTCGATCAAGGCCCACAAGATGGTGCTATCCGCCTGCTCGCCCTACTTCCAGGCCCTGTTCTACGACAATCCCTGCCAGCACCCCATTATCATTATGCGGGACGTCAGCTGGTCCGACCTGAAGGCCCTGGTGGAGTTCATGTACAAGGGGGAGATCAACGTGTGCCAGGACCAGATAAATCCGCTGCTCAAAGTGGCCGAAACCCTCAAGATCAGGGGCCTGGCGGAGGTCAGTGCGGGCAGGGGCGAGGGAGGCGCCTCCGCACTTCCCATGTCCGCCTACGAGGATGAGGAGGAGGAGGAGGAACTGGCCTCGGCCACTGCGATTCTGCGGCAGGAGGATGACGCAGATCCCGATGAGCAGATGAAGGCCAAGAGGCCCAGACTGCTGCCCGAAGGCGTCTTGGACTTGAACCAGCGCCAGAGGAAGAGATCCCGGGATGGCAGCTACGCCACACCGAGTCCCTCCCTGCAGGGCGCGGAGTCCGAGATCTCGGAGAGGGGCTCATCCGCCACGCCTGGCCAGAACCAGAGCCAACCCCTGGCCATGACCACCTCCACCATAGTGCGCAACCCCTTCGCCTCGCCCAATCCCCAGACCCTGGAGGGCAGGAACAGTGCTCTGAATGCGCCAGCAGGCCAGAGGAAGTCGCCAGCTCCAGCTGCGGCCCACAGCAATGGAAACAGCGGCGCCACCATGCACTCCCCACCCGGGGGCGTGGCCGTCCAGTCCGCCCTGCCGCCCCACATGGCCGCCATCGTGCCGCCGCCCACCTCCGCCATGCACCACCATGCCCAGCAACTGGCCGCCCAGCACCAGCTGGCCCACTCGCACGCCATGGCCAGCGCCTTGGCGGCCGCAGCCGCCGGAGCGGGCGCGGCGGGAGCGGGCGGCGCTGGAGCCGGCAGTGGCTCTGGGGCCAGTGCTCCGACTGGCGGAACGGGAGGGGCGGGCAGTGCAGCCGGCGCGGCGGTGGGTTCCCATCACGATGACATGGAGATCAAGCCAGAGATCGCCGAGATGATTCGCGAGGAAGAGCGGGTGAGTCAATAAATTACTTGCACCACACATTTTTATCCCACAAATGGAAACTTATAATAATAATGAGATCATATCGCTGCACTGCAAGATAGCCAGCGATCTTAGTCATTAGTAAAAAACGTAATTGCTTCAAAGAAATCACTAAAAAGATATTTCCCTGGAAGTGAAGAGATTTTTCCTGATTTTTCCCTTGACTCATATTTGGCACATTTCGCTATGAATTCCGCGGAAATAAGAGACCCTTCTGGTAGCGAGAGGAGAAGGCTAGGTAAATAATGGTGATCCAGAAGCACAGCCATTGTAAACATGGATACATGAAGTCATGAGCCGAGGCAGGTGATCAGTGATCGGAGATCGGTGTGACTAATCGTGGTGTTCTACTTGCATGCAAATAAATACATTGTCATTGATCTCAGCAACAAGCGAGTAACAGAAGCACGGCGACTTATGCTCATAAATATTGATAAGTAATGGGTACTACTCGTACATGCCATTCCCTCGCGCTTCGGATTACGTGTATCCAATGGATCTCTGGCATAGAAGCACAAGGTAGGGTGCCATTTCCTCGATCGGCTTCGGCTGACCCCCGGCGACCCTTTTCGCCATCGAAGGCTGAAAAAAGGCAGCCATTTAGCATAATGCGCATACGCCGCGTACGCCGCAGTGCAACTGGAACTCAGACAATCGCTCACTTAACATAGTTGGTTTTTAGTTCGCTGGGAAATGCATATTAACGAAATCTTTTGCATTCGCCCAGTCGCATTTGCCGCTGGGTTGCGTTGTTATTTCTATTAGATTGCAAATTAAAGCTGATTTACTATTTGTATAAGAAGCGGACCAGGGGTTAGGGCTGGTGAAGGGGGGCGAGGTGAAGGGGGGCGAGGTCGCGACATTAAGTGCGTCAGCGACTTGAAAAATAATTCAACAACATTTAATGCTAATGACGAAAATTGCACAATGCACGCATACAAATGAGCGGAGGAAAGGCAAAGAAAATCAACAAAATTATAAACAATTGGCAGAAATTGATGGCAAGGCAAACAAAAGTCGCACAAATATTTGATTTGTTCGTCTCGTGCATCTGATTCTCCATAATTGCAACTAATGCGCCTCCGATTTTCGCTCACTTTTGCACTTTGGATTCTGCATTCTTGTCTCCGCTTTTCCGATTTGTTGTTTTTTCCAGCGCTAGTCACTTATCACTTAATATTTGACATTGAGCATTATTCTTGAGCTGCTGCCACATTGTTGCACGTTACTTTTGCACGCCGCATGTTTGCACAAGCCATGCTAACGAATAACACATTTCTGTGGCTTGGTGGCAAGTAAATACCCCGCTTTGCTGTTTCAGTGTACCGCATTGATAGATATAGTTGCGTTATCGAGTCAGCTGCCTGCATAAATTAGGCATGGATGGATGTGCCCCTCCTGATTTCTCATATTATTCCCTGCTTTTTGCGCGCACAATTTACTGTTGCTTTGTTAATTTATTGAAATGAAATGAGAAATGAAATCAAGAAGAAATAGACGGCAGTAAAAGGGAGACTTATACAAGTGTATAAGTTGGCACACCATTTCCCCCGCCCCTGGAAAATCCACCAAAAACTCGACGACGTCACCGAGAAAAGCCAGCAGGATGCTGCGGCTGGGAGCCTGTTACTTAATAGAGTCCAACTTTTGCCTCAGTCAATGCCAAGAGTCTGCTCTCGCCGAGTTTCCCCACTTTCATTCACAGACCCCGCACTCGGAAAACTCTCGCACACACACAAACACACGCACACACACAGTGCAAGAGCGAAAGAGAGATGCGGAGACACACACGCAACATTGGGGAAACCCAGCAGTCAGAAAAAGTCGCAAGAAACTCAAAGTCTGGTGGGCTCCTCCTGCCCCGAAAACATTTTGTGCGAGTTCCTTGACTTTGGCTTTTCTTTTGTGCGTTTGCGATTTGTTTTTGCAAGAAAATTACACAAAATTGCCAAGTGCTGAAAGTTCTTTGACAGCCAAGGGCGCCGCCCCGCTCCCACTTTTCCGACTTTCCCCGCATTTCCCGCCTTTCCCGCATTTCCCAGTACGTCTTTGTCTACGGCGTTAGTCATAATTGCTCCATGTGTATCTCTGGCTTTCTGGGTTCATCCAGCTGGTGGTTGAGCTCCATGCCAAGCAGGTTGCTTGAACTCCGTTTCGGAAGCAGAGCAAGTGGCATGTATCTGGGGCTTTCTTCCATTTTGACCGTGTGAATCTCCGCCGCGGAGCCCCAAAATCTCCAACTTAAGCCAAATGTCACCGGCTGTTTCCTGTGCGGTCCGCAGCTCATTAGAGGTCTTTGATTGATTCGAACCGGTGTAGGGAAATAAATCAAATTTACGGGCTCACGTTTTACATAAACCTGCTGATCGCCGCTGATGGCCGGCCACCCCGAAGAAACAATGGGAAAATGTTTCCAGTGGTCTTATCTGGCGAAAGCCGGAGGTCTTCTGGCGGAGATTAAAGGATTTCGTAAGGCGGGCGGCACTTTGGAATTCAGTCGCCAGAATTATATGTGAATTCTATAATTTACGAGGCAATTTCGATAATTTCTTTAGTTTGTGAGCGGGCCATAAAGGTTGCAGCAATTGTTCTTGCTCAAAAGGTTATATAAAGGGAATTTTCGGTGCCCGGTGCCCGGTGCCCGGTGCTCGTTGGTCGTTGTGGAACACACTCGAAATAAATAAGTAATTTATTTTATGGCAGGCCCGAGCGGGCCATAAACCCACATAGATCTTATCGCCGGGCAAATAATACAATATAATCATAATAACAATTTGTAATCTTAAGTCGCGTCGATGCGAGCTCTTGGCTTTGGTAATTTCCTTGATAAGATTCCTCCAGCCAGCTTTTTCTAGCCTTTACTTCCAACTACCCTAGTTTGAATTCTCTCTGTATTGGCGCTACGCGATCAGTGCTCTTGTAGTTCTTATATTAAAGACTGATAAGCCGGCTGGAGGGGATTGGATGACTCGTGGACTGTGACGCAGTGACTCGCTGAATTTGGCCAAATCATCTTTGTATTTACAGGCCGACGGTGATTGTTTAAATAAAGAAAAAACGATTATAGTATACGGGACAATAGAATTTTTATAACACTATATATATGGGTTTTTTTCTATCATGGCCCAGGTCCGTGCACTTGCTGGTGGGTAATTATAGTGAAATATTTGGCTAATTGGCCGTGCAGTATAAGTTTGGTAACAGATTGGGTAGTTTATGGCGCAACACCTTTGGAATCTGATTTTTTATCGGCTTAGGTTTCCATATTAGTTTATAACTCAAACAGCGTGGCCTTTCTGATTAAAATTATGATCCTGCAACGTTCTGAACTTTCTGATTCTGAAACAAATTGGTTTGATGTTTAGAGCTAAAGCTTGGCAGCCCCTGAAAAGCTGGATGAGTTCCTTCTCCTGCCCATCCCATCCCACTCCAGTCCATTTCCATTTGCTTAATGTTCCAGCTGCGCTCCTTCGTTTGTTTTCCCCGCGTTAAGTTTTGTTATATTTCCATTTATTTGGCTGCCTTTTGTTACACTTTATTTATTTATTCCGCATTTATTGTGGGCTACAGACACACACTTTTCTGTCGTTAGTGCAGTCGCGACTGTTGTCTTTATGACGACTGTGATGACGATGATGATGATGAATGCGATGATGATTATTGCCGTAGCCTGTTTCAGTTTCTGTTGCCATTTCAGTTTCAGTTTGTGCTGCCTCGGTGTGTTTTCATTGTAGGAAAGACACAAGAAAATTATAGGTATCTGCCCTTATGGCGCTGCGCAGCGGAGCGAAACAATAAAATATAAAATAAAATATGTACGAGTCTGTTTACGCAATTACAAGCAGACAAACACAGCGCGACGGTCCCAGAGATACAATATTTATAACCGACAGATACGAGCTGTAGCTGCAGCTACAGATAGAGCCACAGATACGCAGATACATAGATACCAGCACAGATACGTGTGCATCTCGCAGATACTGCCACAATTAGGGGCACTCGCAAAGGGAGCGCAGATAACGGTGCAAATGAAAACCGAAATTAAAGAAAATTATCTCGCATCTGGCGGAGAAACTACCGCCGCCACAAATGGCATTATAATGTGTTATAATTCGACAGGGCCTACACAGAGAAGTGAAAATGTGTCATTGTCATGGTGCAATGATTGATATTGTGAGGCTGAATAATATCGCAGTACAAGTGCAATACTGCTGGATTCAATTACTGTGAATTCAAATAGCTCGCTTCCAATAGTATTTCTGCCTGTCCCAAAAGTGTGAGCTCTTTTCCACACTTTTCTCAAGTTTCCCACTATAAGTGCTCATCATTTTTTTTTATCCAGGATAATGACAAACGCGAATTACAGCAGTAAGTGCGTGGAAAAGGAAGGCGCACAGTAAACGCCCCTAATTTGGCAACCAACTAAAAAAAAAACTCTTTGCCATCGCATTCTGGCACTCGGGCCTAATGGTCCCGCTTGGCACCACCCACCCACCATTTCCAGCGTTTTCCAGCATTTTCCACCCACACCGCACCGCCCACTTGAAAAGTGAGTGCAACTGCAGTTTCTTCTTTATGCGAATGCAATTTGCTGGAAAGGTTCGATTGCCGCAACTGCACTCCATGCGGTTTTCCTTTTTCCAGCCGCTTGAGCCCTTTTGTGCATCCTTTGGCAGGCGGATAATTCGGCGTGAAATTAGCCAGCAAAGTGAGCGAAATCGAGTGGGTTTTCAGCTGGGGATTTTCCGACTCCAAGGGGGAAGTCCATCCATTCTGTGGTGTTTGTTTATCTCCACGGGTTGAGTCGCATCTGTAAACAGAAACAGCAACAGCAACAGCAACAGAAACAGATACAGATACAGAAACAGCGTTTGAGGAATGGGCCTTTGAAGTTGCCTTTCCTGCATTTGATTTGTTATTTTATTACTCTACGAATTTTAACACATCTGCTGGAAATGCATCTGTGAATT